GTTTCCTATGTGAATTCACCTTTTGAGTATAGCTGGTCAGAATAACTCTCACCATTGGCTTATATACCAATATTAATGCTTCCTTCACTGCAATATGTCAGATGCATTCTAGGGTTACATTTGCACTAGTGTTTTTCATAGCCAGATTACAGTATGGCTCATAGGCACCTTATTGTTGACTAAAACACTTGGATATTTATCCTTTTGTCATCTGCAGTTGATGATCCCAACATTTACAAAAGAAATTCTTACCATTTGTTTCTAAATGCATGTCTGCATTATGTAGCATTAGATTTGTTCTTGTTTATATTACTCAGTACAAATAATTCAATTTTTCCTGTGTAGGAATCAGTCCTACTTTTTAATCTTACAAATCCAATGTTCTATCAAACATCATTAGCACACTACTACATTTTGTACCAATGTCATTAAAGAAAATATTAACGCTCACTCCTAAAAATCCATAAGCTTCCTGTGCTTATGGAGAAGGATAGGCTCCTTTCACAGGCAGTTCAGAGCAGAAATCTACCTTAGTAATTCTGAACCTCTCCTCAGAGAAGCCTTCTATTGACTATTATAGGAGCATAATCAGAATAACTAAAGTTAACTTTTTGGAATATCCCTGTTCCTGTACCAAGCAGATGACTAACATTTTTTTTTTTCTGTTACAGAGAAACATTAGGCTTCCTAGTCATTTAGGGTGTGTGATTTTAGACTTGGACCTGGGAACAGATAGAGGGTTCTGGTTTCTATAACATTACCCACACTGGGATTGTCAGCACAATTTGAGGATGTGTTTTTGAATCAATACCTTTCATGATGCCTAGAACCACGTTTTTCTATCTATCTCACTGAAATCTTTCCCAGGTATACCATCATGTTTTATGGACATTTGTAGAGCTATGCATTGTCATATCCTTCTGAAAATTGGTTACTTGAATTAGAGATTCTCCATAATTTATTCAGGACGACAAATTATTTTTTTAAAACACAGGTTGTAAATACGATCATAAATCATAATGTCAGTGCTCAATAAAAGCATTAAAAGTTCTATTGCAAGATCAAGAATTTTATTTCCAGATAGATAGGAGAAAGTTTCTTAAGTGCTGCAAAAAGAAGGGTTATAACTGAAATCAGCAAAAAGGGTATGGATTTTTTTCAGGCAGCAGCATACATTTATGAAATACATTTTCTCAGGGGTCACCTAGTAGATAAAAGATGGAGTTGAACTCAGGTATTTGGTGTTCATGGCTGAAAAGCAAGAAAGAATTAAACTCTAGATTGCAACTTAGAAAACTGTAAACTTGATTTATCCTGAAATAAGCTATTGCATTTTTTGATCCCTGTTTTGTTTGAACTCTTAGCAGAGAAAACTTCAAAGCCACAGTACTTAACAGATGTTACATACATTAGCACACTCAACACAGTGTTTCCATGGCCTGTTCTTTCAAGGCCATTTTCTTCGACTATGCAATAGGTCTCTAAATCTTTTCTCTTGGTATGGGGAAAATTAAGGCACTGTAATTTTATTCACTAAACAAACAAGTGAAAACCTACAAGTTAAAAAGACAAAACCTAGAAATTATAAGAAAACGACATTATTATTATGCTTCTATTGTTACATATGTTGCTATTGTTAAACAAAATATGTTTGAGGTAATAACAAAACTGTGTGCTTAGTACATGAGTTGTGGTCCTGACTTTTTCATTTCCTAGGCCGTGTGAAATTATTACTTCTGTAGGGAACAAACATTTCTTCTCTGTAAAGGACTAAACGGTGTAGTAAGTAATATAGACCTAGGCCTATTCTAACATATTGCGCAAAGGTCAGAGATAAATTTGCTTAAAGAATAACGTATCAGCTTAGAGACAAATCCTAGCACTCAGCACAGATAAGCACAGGAAGCAGAAGGCAAAGTATCTTTCTGCCCAGCTAAGCAGTGTGTTACTAAGGGACCAGATTTACCTCCGACTGTGCAGATCTGCCCCTGTATGGCGCAAACTATTCATCTATATAAGACAGGCAGGGACAAGCCAGGAATTGATCAATATCCACAAGTTTGATCACCCTCTGAGAGCTTTCATACAGAGAATAAAACAGAAAAGAGCCAGTATGAAATCAATACAGTCTGTAATTATAACTCTAAGGTGAGAATGAACATAATTATGGATTCAAAATGAGGCATTATCTCCTTAACAGAGCATGCTAAAAGCATAAGTCAAACTAACCTTTCTCACAGGCACAAGATCTGAAAGTCTGAGGAGTAGCAAACCAGAACCAGAAAACATTGCAATGTAGTATGATGGACAAATTAAAATTATTAAACGTGGTATCTTCAAAGATAATTACCTTAGCAGGGTCTCTGACCTGGAAAATGTACTCTTGTTCCTGTTGGCTGTTGTGTTCTGCTGGCAGCTATGTGTTTATGTACATGAATTTATAAAGCATATATTAATAGCATTGATAAAAAGTTTACCACATGAAAGAGCACACACATAGTGAAAGAAACATCACCAAACAGAAAAGAGAGAAGAAAAAGACGGAAGCACCTGAACTCTGCCAGGGAAATGATCTCAGGCAAGTCAGGAGGTGGTGAGCCAGACCCTAATTTCCAAGAGTGCCCCATGCGGTGAAAGGATGCTGCATGGCACTGGTGTCCCACATTCATTGCAAAGCACCACCTAATGCAAGAGATGGAGTGAAGTTTGAACAGGCTTCATTAGCCAAGGCAATTTAAAGTGCATCTCCACACAAAGCACAGGTACAATACGCATCTTCAAATTAGCAGTATTCAACATGCAACCTCCTCCATCTGTATTAACCAGAGAAAATTTAAAGTAAGCATTTTGTTACTAGAAAATAATAGAGGAGATAATGCAAACCAAATGAGAAAAGTAGGTTAAGGAAAATCAATTTCTCATCAACTGTGGGGCAAATAACTTTAAACAAATTCACATGGTTTCTAATCAGTACCAAATAACAACATGGTTCCTTTGGGCTACACTGCAATGACAAAGCACCAAATTTATGATAGAGGAGACTTTAACTTTTATTGGAAGGGCCGTGAAATAACAAGAAAATCCCACGTATCTTATAGCTTATCCCTAGAAAGCAGATAGAAGGGGCCTTTGGCATGACACTCAGCTAATGCCCTGAGCGAATACAGCAACAGCAAAGAGTAAGAATTATTTGAAATTCTTTACATAGAAGCTGAAAAACTAATTGTGACATGTTAGCTGAAAACAAGAAAGGATTTCATTACACTGCAGATGGCCTGAGCAAAGGGAATATGTGACACAAAAGGAACTGTGATGAGATTACAAAGTATATCAGAACTGTTTGATTAATCTCCTGTCTGGGGAGTTTTAATACACGTTACAGTAGACTTAAATTAGAGGAATTATAACCATATACTTCCAGACTTCTGCTGCTTCTGCTTCTAACAGCTTATCTCCATTTTATCCAATTTTATTGCTGAAGGATTTTCACATCCTTAAATCCTACTTCCTTGAGCACCGTGATACGTGTTGTGTCTCCAGAAAACTGTGCTTCTCAAAAAGCTACATGCATCCCACTCTGACACTCTCCTTTTTTAGTTACAGTTCCTTCTGTTAGGAACTTCAAAGTAGGTTTAGGTCTTAAGGAGACATGGTGTTTATTCAAAGATCACTTTGGAGTGTTTTTAATTTCTTCCCTACTCAAGATGCTGTCATACCACTTTCCCTCTACTCATCTTTGGGAAGGTCTTCTCAAGAATTTGGAAATTTCAGGCGTGCCTCACTCTTGGTCTGCTTCGTCTCTTGCTTTAACATCCACATCCCCATGGTATTTGGGACAGAGCTAAAGAACTGACAAGAAAGAAGGAACAATTCTCTGCTGTACTCCCTGTACTGGGCACAGCTGGGAGGGTTTCGGTACAGGGGTGGCAGTTGTGACCTGTGCAGGAGGAGGCATCGAGCTGCCCTGCGCCAGTCACAGCCATTTCCAGACAGCTCTGACACCAGTGTGTGACACCAGCTGGGAAGTGTTGAGCTTAGGATACAGAAGAAATCCCATATCCTGGTCTCCACATAGAAGAAGTCCAAATGCATGGCCCAGCTGCCAGCTGGGTGGTACTCCAAAATAGCCCCAGTTTGCATATTCAGACACTAGCAAGTAATTGAGGATGAAATTTCAAAAGAGTTGATCAAGAAACAGCTTCAGCTAGATTTTTTAGTTTTGGTGCAGAATGTGAGAGTTCAAGAGTTTGAAAATGAACGGTCCTCAGGTTTGAAGAAATGCTGTGAGTGCCAGAATATCAGCTCAGTGTTACTGTGACCCTGAGTAAACATGCAGGGGGGAACTTCTTAGTGGAAACAG